GACATGAAGAATGTCTATCTAAAATATATCTCTATATATCTAGAAAATCTAACTAACATGACTACAAGCTTTACTATTATCGATGATTATCCATTAACAACCTATATTTCTTAATTATACAGTACATATTTAAATGAACTACACAATCACAATACCTTAATCAAAATCAGAAACACTTATATATATAACAAAATTGACCTTAAATCTCTATCAATAAAGCAAAATCTATACTAATACAAATTATTCATACCTATATCATATCCCCCTATAAATGTAAAAGAACATTTATAAACCCTATTTGGGAACATGGGCACAGTTTTTTCTCTCCAAGCTGCTTCCTGCTGAATGGGGGCGTTGTTAATTAGGTCTTTCATGGTATAACCTGTGTGCTAGTTTCATCTCAGTTGGCACTTGAGCGAAGCAATTTTTTGAAGGCGTTCACACCAACCCTTCAGGAGGGCGTGGTCCATCATACCAAATCGGAATAGAAGAAATGAACAGCGTCTCATCCTCTGTGAAAACAAAATAAGAAACTCCTTTCCAAAGTATCATATCCTTAGATCCAAACTCAAAATATCTATGTTGGATTAGTTCAGAAGCATTTATAAACAAATATCTTCTAGTAGCTTTTGCTCTTTCCTCAGCATTCAAATAATTCAAAGAGAGCATAATAGCATACAGTATCAAAATTATCTGTGTATTTTCCATCTTTGTGCAGCTTTGTTTTAACCTCTATTTTGTTTATTTTTACTTTTAACTCTTTGCTTTTTGAGACAGGTTCTCTGTATCTTTGACTTGAAGTAACTCTGTAGACCAGGCTGTCTTTGAACTCTCAGAGATCCACCTGTCTCTGCCTCCCAGACATTCGGGATTAAAGGTGTACACTACTACACCTTGAACTCACAGAGATCTGTTTGTTTCTGCCTTCTAGGCACTGGGATTAAAGGCGTGTGCTATCACACACAACAACTCTCTTCCTTTTTTTGTTTTTTACTTTAAGAACTTTAACTTTTAGTCTGCATATATTTTTAACACACTGTAAACCATTTAAAAATTTTCTTTGTCTTTGAATCTCTCTTTACTGTATATCTCTCTTTTTCTGACCACATGAGTCTTTAATTTACCAAGCAATATCAGTAGGATTAAAGGCGTGGCTTTGTCAGCTAGATCCAGTCCATTCCTTAGCTTTCCAGCCTCATGGCTGAGGTACCGGCTGTAGCCAGCAAGCGAGCTTCAGCAGCCTGTGCTTGCAAACCGCACAAACCGCCTGCGTAAAAGAGTCAGAGTTTACCCTGGCAGGACAGCCCAGAAAGTCGGCATTTTTAAACAGCGCAGCTTTTTTCCTGCTACGGCTGAAAACCGAAAAGCATGCGTTCAGCTTTTTGTCAACACCGTTTAAGTGTTTCGTGGCAGGACCTCTTAATGAGCTGCAGGCTTTGCAACTAAAGCTGAGTCAGGAAGCCTCTCTTAGAAGAAAGCGCATGCTTGCCTCTAGCAAGCAGAGTAGAACCGAGAAATTGCTGCTACCAAGAAACCAGGCACAATGCTTTCATTTTGTTCTAGAATTACTTCCCAAGCTGTCTCAGGCTTTATGTGGAAGCAGTTGTCCACGTGGGCGCCATATGAAGTAATAAGGGCGGCGGCGGGGCTGCGTCCCCAACACCCCAGCCGCCTGTCCGGCTAGCTTATGCCCCGAAATAATTACACGGAAACTGTATTCATTTAAATCACTGCTTGGCCCATTCTCTTCTAGGCTAATTCTCACATATTCATTTAGCCCATTTCTAATCATCTGTGTGTAGCACCCCAAGGTGCGCTTACCAGGAAGATTCTAGCCTATGTCCATCCTGGGTCGGACCTTCATCGCGTGTGTCTGCCAGGGAGCAGGGCATGGCGTCTCTCTCAGGTGTCTGCTCCAGAGAGGAGAGCTGTCGAGACTCTGAGCTCACTTCCTCTTCCTCCCAGCATTCTGTTCTGTTTACTCCTCCCACCTATCCTCTAACCAATAAAATGGGCCAAGGCAGTTCCTTTATTAGCCAATGACCTTCCTCCATCAATCTCAGCACCAAGAGGAGGAACAAGAGCATTGCTACAAGTTTGCCTGGTCTACAAAGTGAGTTCTAGCCAGCCACGGTTAAATAGTGAGACTATGGTGGAACACACCTTTAATATCAGCACTCAGGGAGGAGAGGCAGGTGGAATTCTTTTAGCTCAAGGCCAATCTACTTGGGGAATTGAGATCCTGTCTCAAAAGAGAGAGAAGAAATTAGGAGAGGGAGGGAGGAAGGAAGGAAGGAAGGAAGGAAGGAAGGAAGGAAGGGAGGGAAAATAGTGAGACATAAGAAAAATAAATTCTTTCCTCTCCAAGGTGCTCTGGCCATCACAGCAACAATAATCCTAAATCCTTGGGGTACTTTCCAAGCCGTGCCTTCATTTGCTTCTCAGAACCCTCTGAGATTTGCAGGACCAAGATTCCTGTTTGGCAAGTAATGATCCTGAAGAGTAAAGTAATTTGGCCCAGATCCCAGAGCCAATGATGTCCTCAGCTGGCTTTTCCCTCCGCTGCACCGAAGGCTTCACTGCCTAGGAGACTTCTAGACTCAGAAGAATGAGGAGATTCTGCCTGCCTGAGTTCAGATGTGCTCCAGGAAAGACAGCCACATTGATGATTTTTGAGGTGGATGATTTGAAGCACCCGAAGAAACAAACAACACACTTATGATTCAGGGGCTCCAGCGTCACCACCCTTAGACTGGTGACCTCCCCAACCAGGGCATATTTTCCCTCAGTTTGGAGATCTGAGAAGTCAGGGAAATTCTTCTCACCTCAGAAGGCACTGCCCATAAGAAGAGAAAATCCCTTTAATCAGAGTGATATTGCAAGGAAAGGGGAAATGGATAGGAATGGAGCCTAGAGAGATGGAGGGGGACATCTGATTTCATGCAGGAGACCTTTCTGCTAGGAAGTGTGTTCAGGCAGAGAGAATAACACAGCTAAAGGCCGGGAGAGATAGAGAACACACAGGTACTTTCCAAACTGAGGGTTTCTGTCTTCTTCTTTTTTTTTTAAATATTTATTTATTATGTATACAATATTCTCAGTATTCTGTCTGCATGTATGCCCTCAGGCCAGAAGAGGCCTCCACCTTTTATTCCCTGGCTGGCTTCTCTTCCTGCCGCTGCTAACCAGTGTACTGCCCTGCTCCTCGTTGGTTTCCTAAGCCCCCATCATACTTTCTCTAAACTGCCCAGGTTCAGGTGTCACCTGTTTTCTGCTGCATGAGAGACAGAGATTGAGGGGGAGCTGGAGTTTCGGACTCAGTGTGTGCCGTTTAGGGATGAGTGAGTGGTTAGACCTGGGAGTTTGATGCCGACAGAATTTAGCCTAAGTTCTTCAAGTGTACCTTTTCTTGGAGAGTTTTCCTTGAGAGCACAAGGCCAAGTGATTTCCATGGCCATAACCATCATTCATTCATTCATTCATTCATTCACTTACTTAACAAATTTATCTTAGCATCTACTCTGTGTTGGATTTGGTACTGAGAATGACTTGGTACCCAGTTCTGTCCCAGGGTTGGAGTCAATCATAACCCTGGATGGGAAATGTTGGGTTAAAGGGAACAACAGGTGTTCTTAGTTGCTGAACCATCTTTTCCACCCTATGTGGGTTTTTTGTTTGCTTGTTTGGTGTGTGTGTGTGTGTGTGTGTGTGTGTGTGTGTGTGTTTTGCCTGCATATATGTCTGTGTTCTACTTGTATGTCCAGTGCCCTCAATGCTAGTGTTAAGCATCACTGGGAGTCTTGTTTTTTAAAATGCTGATTTCTGGGCCCTAGCTCTTCTGAATCAGGGCCTCTGGGAGGAGCCTGCAGTCTACTTTACTGAAACCAGCACTCCCTTGGTTTGTAGACTGGAAACTAAGAGAGCATACCTAGGTGGTGAGGTGACTTCTCTGAGAGTAGTCTCCAGCTTACGGAGGAATGGATGCACAGAAGCGTATGGCGCAGAAACAACATAGCAATGATGAGTTTTGAAGATTAAAAACTATGCACAAGATGCCTACCACACGACAGGTCCCCCATCCTAAGCACTTCTTAGATAATCACATACTAAAATTCTGTGATTGAAATTGCGCGCCTCAGAAATACTGCGGTAGATCTCTGTAAGGATGTGAGGGAGCTCACCTGAATGGGTTGTGTGGCCCTCCGCTGGCAAAGAGAGCTTGAATAAGTGGTCCCTAAGTTCCTGAGAGGCTGTCCCTGTTTCTGTTATCTTCCTGTTGATGGCCTCCTGGCCGCCATTTCTGGGCTTCCCTTGGATTCTTCTCCTTTACATAGCCTGTAACATCATCAGAAACAATTTGAATGAGGACCCAGTGATCTGGGGCAGACACCCATTAAGATGTGGCTGGATGCAAATTGATCGGGAACGTGAGGGTCTACTGAAGGAGGAGGCACTTGCTGGAGTGTAAAGGATTCTGAGTTTGCGCTCTGACTAACTTGGTTGGTAAGTATAGATAAGTCACACACACACCCCGCCCCGCGCACCCCCAATTTGGGTATCTGCAAACTGCAAAACAAGGTTTGTATTAGAATCACCCCCCCCCCCCCCTTGGCTATTACTGTTTTAGTATCTTGGATTCCGAGAACACGTCTGGCCCTACCATAAGTCTGTGACGGAATGGTGATAGCCAGCTGTGAGGAAATCAAGGCCCCAGTAGGGAGCTGCCCAGGGCCACACAACCACACAGGTGCTACACCCAACTCCACCAATGGCCAGCCCTTGGTCTGGGTTTCTGGAGATCAGTTTTTTGGCAGATTGGCTACGACATAGCGACACAAACTGTGAGACCGAGAAAAATTTGGTCTCAGGTCCAGGAAGCGGGCGGTTCCTCACAACCGGGTAATGCTAAGGAGCTGGGCGGAGGCGCCCGAAGCTAGCCAGCGGTGAAGCTGGTGTGCTAGCACAGGGCGGGGCCGGAGGAGGGGACACGCTGGGAAGGGAAAACGGGATCATGAGTTGTGCAGAGCTGTGACGGCAAGGAGCGCTGCTGGGCATCAATGCAGAGCTCACAGGGGAAGATCGCAGAGGCAGGTAAGGCGCACGCACAGGGTTGGAGAAGTGCAGGGGTTTTCGTCTCCTCGGCGAGGGTCCAGTATGTGTTTTTCTTGACAGGGACCCGGTTTGGGGTGCTACTAAAATACCGAGTGGATGTTCCCCAGAGAGAAGAGCAGGTATCCCCCAGCAACACAAGTAGATGAGAGTTTAGCTGATCGTGGAAATCGTGGGAGGCTCGCACACGTCCTCCCAGTACTCCGTCGAGGCAGCAAAGGCTCCTTCATGCCTGCAGATAGGTGAAGGTGTAGAACTCCTACACGTCTGCAGGGGGTACTCGGGGAAGCAACATTCCAGGAGTCAGTCTTGCTCTACTAAAGCCGCGGGCTCTGCAGAACTAACTGCCTTGCCCTTTCTTTCTACTCCACTGTGACTAGCCTTCTGCGACTAGTTCCCAGGAAAGCGCGGGACTCCCAAAGCAACTTCTGTGGCTAGTAGCAGATCTAGGTTGGAAGGCAGGCATCTTGGTCTCTAGTTTTCAGGTAGTGTAAACCTGTACCCGTCAACCATGGCTTGTGACTTGGGCTTTCTTTTCTAAAAGTCTTCCCCTGTAGAATGGGTTGCTTGCTCCAGTTGCTCCGCGTAAACCACATTAGGGCACAGGGGAATTTTTGGGAGGTCTCTTATCTCAGCCAGCGTGCAAAAGCCCAGGTAGCAATTCCTCCTAATTCCCGCTTCCTAAGCCTCATTCATTTGCATGTGAGGAAACTGAGGTCCCTATCCAGGGTCACACGGGGGGGGGGGGGGGGGGGGGAGGGGAGGGGGGGAAATTGAATTAGAATCAGCGTTTCTTCACCCCTAGCCCAGTACTCTATTTCCCCCGCAGATATGGAATAAACACATTCTCTCTGGCACTCAGCCACTTTGTCAATGCTGGGTTGCTGTGCTGGAAGTGTTAAAAAAAATGCTTTTAAAGACTGTTAACACCCTAAGATGAAAACCAACAAGCAACTTTCTTCACACTTCTCAAGGCACAGTCCTATCAGTAGTGTGAGGGTGCCTGAAGTAGCTTCTAAGAGGGAGGCCAGAAAAGACCAAGAACCTCCGGTCTACACGCGGCTACACATACTGGATCAGCAGGGTGCAGAAACCCAGATCTTCTCGTTCTCACACTGTGGGAGGCACTTCTAAACAGCAAGGGCGGCAGGATCCACCAGAAAAGGTGGGAGACAATGCAGGAGGCCCACGGTTTGGAGGTTCACAAAAAGTAATAGGACCCTCTGGTTTCTGTGGAGGTGGGAGGGCCACGGCAGGGAGTGGCACACAGGGGGACTGTTCTTGGTAATTAGGGGTGAATTTATTATATAAGTTATATATAAGATGTGGAGACACCTGGGGAACCATGTCAGCAGCCTTCCCAGCAATGTTCCCTCACCTTTGCTGCTTCCAAAACACTTCCGCATCTATTGTCTCTTCCAGTGTTCATGAGGTAAGCTGGGCATGGGTAATTGCCCCCATCTTACAGATGCCGTTCAAAGGAAATAAACGCAGTGTTCAAGGCCACACAGCCGGCTGGGCTCATGAAAGACTCCCTTGAAAGGCGAGAGACGGGGACTGAGTGTGTACGGTTTGTGGGTGTGGATGGCCTATGTACACAGGGGAGAGTGTTGCAAAACCATTTACTGATGTTTAGGGGCCAAGAATGTTTGCCCTTTGGATTAACGGGCTCAGATCAGATGCAGGAAGTGTCTGGGCTTCCAAAGAAGGCTCACAGTTTCTCTTGCTTGCTCCATGCCCCCTGATCAAGGAGCCTCTCCTTTCCCTAAGGCAGCCTGTCTTGATCCAGCTTAGAGCTGTTACTTCTTTGTTTTTCTCTGAAAGCATTGAACGCTGTTTTCAGGAATCTGTTGGAAGGAGAGTTAAGGGTTGTGAGGCTCTCTATAGGAGAGGTATTGGTTCACTTGTGCTCTTGTTCTTCAGTGCTTGCTGTGTAAACAGGCCTGGAGAAAAAAGAAATGCATGAGGCCCAGCTCCTTGCCTGGAAATCTCCAGGCACGTGTGCATGAACACACTGGGCCCACATGTACACTCACCCACAATGGCTGAGGAGCAGGGTTTTCTTTCCTTCCTTTTTTTTTTTTTTCCTCTGTAGCAGGGTTTTCTAATGAGGCTGTTTTCAAAGCACTCCGGTAACAAACAAGAGAAACTAACTAGTTATTGAGTGGAAAGAGGGGCAGGTGTCTTGGGAAAGGACGAATGGAAAAGTTTGCTGAGCAGATGGAAAGTACCAAGGAATTCCTGCTTAAGAAAACAGTATAAGCAAAGGCAGGAGACGCGAAGTGCAGGCAATGTCTACTGAGCTCACTGCCATGGACACAGACTGAGAGAGCCATAGGGAGGGGAGCCAGTGGCAGGGTCTCATCCACAGGAGTTTGACAATCATTAATGAGTTCATTTTAGCTCTCTCAAGAGAGTATGCAATATGGCTTTTGTGTTCCTCCCATCAGAACTCCAATGTCCCGCGAGGCTCTGACGGGAGGGTCTGACAGGTGAAAGGTTGCTTGCTTCTCCACTCCACTCAATGGATTCCACCCTGTCCTTCACTTGCCCCTTACTCCCATTTCCCACACAATCTGTCTCTTCCCCGGGGACAGACCTCCCACGCAGGTAGGATGCTAGGAGGAAAAGGGTACAAGTCAATCAGTCGGCCCTCAGTTTACCTAGGCCATAACATCAGGCATAAGTCAATCCAGAGTCTCAGGAACGTCTTAACCCGCTAGAAATACTCTGCAGCCTTCTCCATGTCGGGCTGAGATGCCTCGGCTCCCAGAGCCTGCCTCCACTGGCCAACCCAGTCTCCCAAGATCTCACAACACGGCTCTGTGATTCATACTGTCACAGGACGTTTGAGCTGACCATGACTCCTTCATTTTGCAGATGCAGATAGAAGAAGTTGAGACCCAAAAGCACGGAAATCACATGCCCAAAGTCACACAAGTGGCAGCTGGACCAAGACTGCTCCTAGGCTTCCATTTCCTTTGCTGTAGAATGTGGACATTTAGCCTTAATGAACTCTGAAGGCCCTTGAGTCCAGCTCCTGCACTACACAGACCCCCACCACCATCTGAGGCATTTACAGTTGTGCCTTACAGAACACTCTTTAATCTTCACAGCAAAGCCATGCTACAGAGAGTTAATTCTGTGACGTGCTCATTTTAATTACTTTATGGCATTTATTGGGTGTGTGTATGCATATTGATGTCAGAGGACAACTTTCAGGAGTTGGTTCTCTCTTTCCACCATGTAGATTCCAGGATCAAACTCAGGCCGTCAGGGTTAGCAACAGGCACCTTTCCTCACTGAGCCAACACAGTGGCCTTCTGGGACATATCCACACACTGTCTGTCCACACAGATTTGATTAGTAGTGCTCCATTTATTTCTATGAAACTGAAGACTCCCATTTTACCACTCAGCCCACTCTATTGTGTTCTAGAAGGTTTCTGCTAAGGTGCCAGCACCCTGGAGAAAGAGAAAATATTTAGGTTGTACCATTGGCTGGTCCACAGGTTAAATATGGGATGCCCACAAAGTCACCCAGTTAAGATGTTATGAACCTGGGACTGAGAGACAACAATCAGATGCCCCTTGGCCATCACACAGCTCCTGTAGCTACAGCTCTAGGCTGGCCTTGGCTAGCTGTTGCAAGAAGGGTAGAGGAGTGGTAGGGGTGGGGCCAGAACCCACAGAAACTCTCAGGAACTGACCTCAGGGGATCCACCCTTGGTTCTGAGGTTTGTGTGACTGGTTCCTTTCTCTTCCTCCTCTCCTGACTCTTCCCCAATTTCTAGCTCTTAGTTTTCCTGTCAACGCCAAGACTCTGGCTGTATCCAGATGCATCCTGGGGAGGTCAAGGAACTGAGGAGTCGTGGGACATCCACAAGGAGATTTTCAAAGATGTCTCAGAGCCAGCGGAGTTTCTGTACTGTTTGGTGAGTTCTCCGGATTTGTGCCCCAAGAGTCAATATCCCTTTCCAAGGAAGGATACCCAAGAAAACTGACTAGGAGCAGAGAGATCTCACTTCTGCTGTATGGATGCTTAGGGTTTAGAAACTGAGTGTGTGTGTGTGCTTCTCAAAATGAAAAGCACATTAATCCTCTTCGATGCAATAAAAGAATACATACAACAAGCTTGGGAAGCATAACACCCTTATTAGTTATAGTTAAAAATGCATAACTCCATAAGTCTGCCCTCTTAACCATATGAGTGTTACCAGTCTTCACATTGCTGTGGTATAAATCTCTAGAACTTTGCATCCTGCACCAGAAACTTTACACTCAATGCTCAACAACTCCCACTGATTACCTTTTTTTTGATAGATAAGGAAAGCCATATCCATCCTGGAAGCTAGCTTCCTTCTGAGTGGGCTTGTGTAGATCCATGCTGGTTGTGTGTGTCTGTCTGTAAATTTGTCTGGGGCTTTTCCTCCTTCAACCTTCATATTAGTCCTGCTCCTACTTTGTCACGGCTCTACCCTGGTCCAGGACTCAGCACCCTGTCTCCAAACATCCTTGTTACTGACTCTGCTCTCACCCCTGCCAGGTCACATAGCAGCTACACAATTGCCCGTTTTACCCTCCCTTAAATGCAATGGTATCTTTAAAGCCAACTACAGGACCAAGTTCAAGCACACAGCACGGCACTCCCGTGATTTGGCCCCATGGATTTCTTCTGTCCCTTCCTTCTGCCCATCTTCCATTCCAACATCTTTATGTGATCTTCCATTCTTCTAGACACTTTATGCACTGTCTTGCTGATGTGCCGTATCTTTCCTGTCCTTGCCTTCTCTATCTCTTAGGACGGTTCAAAGTCCAGTTCAAACCACTCCATGCCATTGAACATCCTCTAAGCCCTAAGGAGTGTTAATCACTTTAAGTAGCTCTTTTACATAGCTCCTGTGTTATCACCTGTATCACATTAGGCTGGCCTTGAGGGTGAGTACTGGGTTTGAGCTTTCTCTAGGCCCCAGCACAGACCCTAGTCTGAGAAAATAATGATTGACTGAGTGACTCATTGAGTCATTAATTTCTCTGTGATGTTCCTGCTTGCCACTGGCCCATATGGAGAAAAAAACCTCGGATTTCTGGCCTCTTACATCTTAATTCAGGAATCTATGTTCTTTTTCCTCTTTCATTCAGACAAGAGCACAGTGGATGGCAGAGAACCCCAAAGGTCTTTCATAGAATATAGGCCTGTCCTGGGTGCAGTATGGTGCTGCTATATTATTTAGATTCTGTTCTCCTAGTTCTTCATAGAGCTGTAATGAGTCATGGTGAGAACTATCTTTTCTAGGGGAGAAACCTGGTAGGTAAAGTCATGTTTGATACATATAGGTATAATAATATTTCCTGACAGTTCTACCTCAGTGAAAGAGAGCCTTGGAATCAGGCATTGAATTGTAAGTACTATTTGGCCTATTAAAAAGTCCTGAAAAAAGACACTGCTAACTACTCCCTGATCATGAACAAGCTACTTAATTGTTTGGGGGCCTCAGTTTCCCTGTGCATAAAATGGAAGGAGCTAGATTAAATAACCTCTAAAGTTCTTGTCACCTGGTCTAGTTGATTTATACAATCCAAGAAGAAGAGAGAGTAATATGGTTTTCAGTGGCCAGGAACCACTCTATTCCACACACACAGTGGGATGCTTCTGTGAGGGCTCGCGTACAGTAGTGAGGAAAGCAGACATGGCCCTTCCCATCTCTGAGCCCAATCTTAGTGGAGAAGACAGACAAGCAAAGTAGAGTTGGGAATAATCGTGGTATTGGGTCTTGAGCCTAGGTCTGCAAAATAGGGAAGTTGTTCAAGCTGTTGGTAACAGAGACACCCCTTCCCTTTCTTTTCTCACCATCAGATCACGTTCCAGTTCTTCCTTTACCTCAATCTCTGTTGCTATGGAGACTTCCAATGGGACCGAGACCTGGTATAAGAGCCTCCATGCTGTGCTGAAGGCTCTGAACGCCACCCTCCACAGTCACTTGCTCTGTCGTCCTGGGCCAGGGCCAGGACCTGGGCCAGACAATCAAACTGAAGAACGCCGAGCTAGCCTTCCTGGCCGTAATGACAACTCCTACATGTATATTCTCTTTGTCATGTTCCTATTTGCTGTCACTGTGGGCAGTCTCATCCTGGGATACACCCGTTCTCGCAAGGTGGACAAACGTAGTGACCCCTATCACGTGTACATCAAGAACCGTGTGTCTATGATCTGATGTGAGGTGCCCAAGAATGACGGAAGAGTCTGCTGCCTGAGGATTGTCTTCTTGGGGCCCCAGAACTCAACTCTGGACCCTCTCAAGCCTTAGTGTCTCTATCTATACAAGAGCAACAAGAAATTGGTAAGAGAGATTGCCGTTGGGACCAGAAAGGATAGGCTGGTAGTCCTGGCCTTGTGGATAAGACATTTTTTCCCAGACAAAGATAGGCATTATATACTAGGAGCCCATGAACAAATACATAGAAGTATGGACTACCGGTGAGTAGGAGAAGAGGAAGAGGAAGGGAAATGGAGAAGAAGATGCTCTGGAAACATAATCTTTTAATGTGTGATCTTCAAACATGAGAAACCTTGATAAACCAGGTAATATTACTTGTTTGTGTTAATTCATGTTTTATTTCTTTAAACATACAACACATGCGGGTTTTGCCTCATCTGCCAACAAAGCAGAACAGGTGCCTTGACTGGAATCCAGGAACTCTAGTCTTTTTCCTAGGACTTTTCAGTGATACATGGAGTAAGATCCTGGCCCAAAGAACTTGAGGTGGAGCACAGTAGTGCATACCTGTAATCCTAGTGCTCAAGAGACTGAGTAGGGAGGATCATTGAGTTCATGAGTTCAAGACCAGCTTGGGCAAGCCCTATCTTGGTAGAGAGTTGGGGAGGGGTAGTAAGAAATATCTTACTTTTACAAATATTACCCAAAACATGCCACTGTGTTAATGTATTGCTCAAGCACTTCGAAGATCTTAACAGAGACTGTGCAAAGCACAGAGTTCTGAGCATTATATTCACTAGTAGCATGGTCATGTGCCTCTTGAGCCACATCACCAGGTCGTGTGTCCAATGCCAAGGACTTCACTACCTCGGGTGTAGCTTCTTCTACTCTGAAATCTGTGAGAAACACCAACTTCAAGTTTGTTTCTAGGGGATTACTTTTATACCTAGGAGATGGCCCTGTTAAATGATACAGTGTCTAAAAGGTGTGGTTCATTGGGAAATCCAATGGGCATCTTACTTTTAAGGTTGTTATAACTTTATCAGGTTGGAAGTTTTTCATTTTTGTTAACCTGACACAATCTAGAGTCATCTGGGAACCTCAGCTGAGAAAATGCCCCCATCAGACTGGCCTATAGGTAAGCCTGTGGGCTATTTTCTTGATTGATGATTGGTGTGAAAGGGCCCAGGCCACTGTGAGTAGTGTCATCCTTGTGCAGTGGTCCTGGGTTTACAGGAAAGCAAACTGAACAAGCAGATGGAGGAAGCCAGCATGTAGCTCTCCCCACAGATTCTGCTTCGGTTCCTAGCACCAGGTTCCTGCCCCCAACGTTCCTCACTGAAATATGTAAGATAAAATAAACCGTTTCATCCCCAAGTTTCTTTTGGTTATGATGTTTATCACATCCCTAAAAACTCTAATTAAAACAGCTGGGTACTTCTCTTTTTGGTTCTTTCATTTTTCTCCTTAGTGTAATGGAATAAACTTTAAGGTTTAATATCGGGGCTTATCAGTTCCGCCCTTACATTCACTACATTAGGCGGAAGCACATAAAAGTGCTATTTATATCAGTCAAAAGCGGGTGAATATCAGTTGTTTCACAGGGTTCTACCTAATTTATATACCATGGTGAGTGAATTATTCATCAGCGATTCTGAAGCCACCCATTGCTGTCTGATTTTGATCTGAGGGATCCCCGTGAGCTTCCCAGAAGGCCCCACAGAAACATACGTGTTTGTATTCAGCAACCCCTCACAGGATTTTGATAGCAATTATCTCAGTGGTGTAGAATTATAGATGATTTTTCCTTCCCATTTTAGCAGTGTGTGTGATACTTGACTTATAATGGCCCGACATATGATGCCCATATTATAAAGGACAAGAAAACTGCTTCTCCCAGTAAAACCAAATATTTCTCAGCTAAGAGCACCGACTGCTCTCGCGGAGGATCCAGGTTTGCTTCCCCAGCTCCATGTGACTCACAATCATCTGACTCCTGTTGTAAGGGATCCAATGCCCTCTTCTGGCCTCCGAGGGCACAAAGCATGCTCGAGATACAAAGACAGATACACAGACAGACATGCATGCAGGCACACATCCACACACATTAAATACAAATGAATAAATGTTTAAAAACAATAAAGTAAATGCTTCTGTGTTTATTGAATGGAGGCTCAAAAGAGCGTATGTTGGATGAGCAGTTATGTTGGACCTCTACAAAAGTGTCGAAGTCCGTGCCTTGAGCACCTTTTTATCTTTTCATGAGGGGAAAGAGGTGACTTTCTTAAGGACCTATGACAAGGCAAGACAGCAGATTCTGGAGTCTACAGTCACTGGGACTCCAGAGTCTCCCTCTTCTACCCACATAAATGGTGCTGCAATTGAGTACCGCGTTGAGTGGTCAGGTGAAAGAGGACAGAAGTGTTTTTGAGAAATGAGATTAACTTGATCTGCAGGATTTAGAGAATGGGAGAACTGGAACTGAGCTCTGAAGTGTAGGTTAAATAGGCAGAGCAAATGGAGAAAATGAGACAAGGGGAGCTTGCAGCAGAGACTTCGAAACATGCTGTCCTTGGCAACTGGGGAGAAGGCGCAGAAGCTGCCCCTGTGTGGCTGCTCTTTGACTCCGTCCCCATCTGTGGAGGAGGCTCAGCACACACATTCATCAGGAGACTTAACTCTAATTCCTTTACTTGCAAATTTAACACGAGCACAGGGGAGATTCTAAGTGCAGCACAGCTCATGAGTTCAAACAGAAGCTGCAGAGACCAAGGCAACTGTCGGGATCTCGGGAGCAGGAACTCGTCTGAATTCACAGTGTGTTTCACTACTGATGGTTGGAGTAGAAATTCTAGAATTTCAAACGTCAGATTCAACATTCTAAAATCCTCTGATGAAGGTGTTACTCTCAGCACACACACACACACACACACTGTCAGATGGACCCCAGACCAACTGTGAGGGAGCTGTCTCAATCCGGAGACATCTCTCAGATCTTTGTCGGCATCTGTTTTGCCCTCTGCTGGCCAAACCTCAGAACATGGTCTTGATTCTCAAAGCAAAATTTCAGTCTCATTTCTTCACCAGGCATTTGTTGTACATACCTTACGGTAAGCATCGCATAGGCGTGAATATTATACATGAGTAAGTAAAACAATGCCTCAGGTCATTTGTTATACATAACACACTGCCTTATGAATGTATTCACCTTTAACTCAGATTTTAACATCGTCACAGTGATATAGCAGGTATTTCCTATAATTTTTTCAAAAAAGTTCACTTATTTTTGACATAGTGACTTCAGAACAAACCAGTCAGTTATGCCTGTGGTGTTCACAGGCCAGAGCTGAAATTCCCTGGAACTAAATGAGAACGTAATTTGGAAAAATAAGAGTAAAGTTTTGACACGAGTGATGCTGAATTTACAAGAAAGAGCACCCAAGACAAACATTTAGTGGTGAGGAATGCTTGGCAGGAATAATGTACAATGGACAGAACAAAGCAGACAGGGAAAGCAAAAGAGTCTAACAAGGTGTATGCCAGGTTGTGTCTAACCTTGGTCTGATACACAGGGAGCCCTCATATGTGGCTAGGACATACACTATATGGGAGAACTCAACTCCTTTAAGGTAAGGGAACATTTTGTACCCCTAAACTAGTGAGTCCATCGTTGTGAGTAACCCTGCTCAGATGGGAAGACTAGAAGAGGAAGCAAGGGGGTTCTGGTTGATGAAGGACTGAATCACAATTAATAAAAATCTAGAGACAGGGGGCTGGAGAGATGGCTCAGAGGTTAAGAGCATTGCTTGCTCTTCCAAAAGGTCCTGAGTTCAATTCCCAGCAACCACATGGTGGCTCACAACCATCTGTAATGGGGTCTGGTGCCCTCTTCTGGCCTGCAGGCATACACATAGACAGAATATTGTATACATAATAAATAAATACATATTTAAAAAAATCTAGAGACAGAAATTGGGGTTTAACCTGATGGTCAGAAAAACAAAACCGCCAGTTACTGGCTCTTACCTCTACCTCAGTCTGAAATGGCAATTCTGCCTCCAGGAATCTCAGAATAAGACTGTGAGTGAGAGCTGTCTCCTCCTGTCTTATATTCCTCTCTAGTGCTAGGATTACAGGTGTGCACCACTACCACCCAGTTTCTATGGCACTAGCAGCCTCATTTCAAGGATTCCTGGAGGAGATAGAGGTAAGAGACTGTGGCTGGCCGTTTTGCTTTTCTGACCTTCAGGTTGAGCCCCAATATCTGTCTCTGGGTTTTTATTAATTGTGCTACAAATGCCAGTTTTGTGGAGAAGGCCAACAGCCATGAGCTGTGGCAGGAGAGCACTGTGAAAGTGAGCTAACTAGGATCTGCTCTTGGTTGAATTAGCAACAGTTTGGCTCCTGGGGAAGGTTCTGAAGTTTGCCAGTGAGTTGGTTCCACCTTTTGTGTCTCCCTTTTTTACATACCATGTTGGACCTGCTAGTGGTTAGAGGGGTACTCACCCCCCACACCCCGAGTACATTTGCTTGGGGCTCAGTCTCTGGGGGAAGATGCAACACTAATGATAGCATCACTCCATGCAGGTGAAGGGTTTTACACAGGACTTCATCAGCATCTGCTGCAGCTGTGATAGCTGAGGAACAGGAGCAGAATGTTCCATCTTGAGAGAGCCTTCAAGTTTAACAGATGTGATGGAAATTGGGCAGGATGGTGCATGCTTGCAATTCTAGCACTTGGGAAGTGAGGTAGGAGGATCAGGAGTTCAATGCCATCCTCAGTTACATAGTGAGTTCAAAGCTGGCCTTGGCTACAGGGGTTCTCAAAACTTAGGGGTGAGGGGAAGAACATGAAATAAAGAACAAAACACAATAGCACTAAGTAGAAGCATGTAATAAACAACAAAGTTAAGTACCAGAAGGCAGAGGGGACAGACATTATTATATAGTAAAGGTCAAACAGAAGAACAGGGACAGCTGGGGCCATAGCTTAGTTGGAGAGACTGGCATGCTGACACACATTTCCAATCTCAGCACTAGGGAAGTGGTGGCAGGTAGATCCCTGGAACTCACTGGCCATCCAGTACAGCCTACTTGGAAAGTAGATCACCACACAAGATGGATGGTATCTGAGAGATAGCAGCTGAAGCTGTCCTCTGGCCTCCACACGCACACACATGTATATATGTACCTGTACTCAGAAGCATGTACACCACACACCAAAAAAGGAGGAAAAGGAAGTGTCTGTGGATGTTTCTGGAAGTGGAAGTTTAGTAAGACTTGATCAGGAACAATAGAGTGTGGTCCATGGGTGGTGACCAAAGTAGGTTGATGGTGTTGCTTCGTTTTTGTTCAGTGACCCAGGACAATGACTCCAACCTGCACGCATTACTCAGGGTCATTCTGGTTGGAGCATTTCTACCAGAAATCTCTTTTCTTACCAGGTGGTGGTGCTGCATGCCTTTAATCGCAGCACTCAGGAGGCAGAGACAGGCAGATCTCTGTGAGTGTGAGGCCAGCCTGATCTACAGAGCTAGTTCCATGACAGGCTCCAAAGCTACAGAGAAACCCTGTCTCGAAAAACCCTAAAAAAGAAAAGAAAAAGGAATCTCATTTCTTAGTGAGGAAAAACTGAAGAGGTTTACTTGTAAAGCACACTTGGCAAAAGCTGCATACATTTAATTTGCTCAGGTCCATTCATGAG